AAAAGTTTTATATTTATGTTGCTATTGAAGCCTAACCTAACCCTCTTAGGACTAACCCTTCTAGGCCTAATACACACACACACACACACACACACACACACACACACACACACACACACACACACACACACACACACACACACACACACACACACACACACACACTTGAAACCTAATATAGCACATACTTGTGCTATACTAAGCCCAGGTATATTTCAGTTTTTTTTTTTTTTTTAGTTTTATTTTTTTTCCAAACGCTATTACAATTAATAGTACCAAATTTTACGTTTTTGATTTGACCGTCACGTGGATATTTGTTCGAGCGTCCACATATATATGGGTTGCCATATTAACACATAAGGGTATGCATATAGAGTAGGCAAGAGGGAGAGAGGGGTCCCGAAGGGGGGAGAGTAACCAGTTCAACAGGTAGAACAGGTACCGACCCTTCTTTTTTTAAAAGGTTATATTTAAGTGTTAGCAAAAAAAAAAATTATTATTTCAGAGGCGGGCGGCTGCGAAGGGGGACGCCCCCAGGGACCAGGGGCGGGCGGGGGGGGGGTGAGATGTCTCGCAACAAGGAGGCCAATCTAGTAGAGCCAATATAACGTAAACAAAGTCCGGTATTGTTACTATGGTTTACCTGTGATGTTTTTTTTAGGCTTCATTTGACTCGAGGTTTACCTGTGATGTTTTTTTTTTTAGGCTACATTTGACTCGAGGTTTACCTGTGATGCTTTTTTTAGGCTACATTTGACTCGAGGTTTACCTGTGATGCTTTTTTTAGGCTACATTTGACTCGAGGTTTACCTGTGATGTTTTTTTTAGGCTACATTTGACTCGAGGTTTACCTGTGATTTTGTTCTAGGCTACATTTGGCTCTAGGTTTACCTGTGATGTTTTTTTTAGGCTACAATTGACGCGATAGTTTGCATAGGAAATATTGATGCGTGCAAAACAAGTTTTTGTGTTTTATTTGATAAATTCTTCGAGGTAAGTCTACTATTATTTTGAAGTCGATTGTTGTGTAAGCTTAGGGAATCTCATGCTTACAAGGAAAGGGAATCGTGTGTTTGTAAGTACTGTACCAGGGATACACTAACAAACACTTAAGAACATATATATATGCATTATTATTATGCACGGGTGGGACACGAACAAGGGGACACAGGTGGAAACTTAGTACCCAGATGAGCCACAGAGACGTTAGAAAGAATTTTTTCAGTGTCAGAGTAGTTAATAAATGGAATGCATTAGGAAGTGATGTGGTGGAGGCTGACTCCATACACAGTTTCAAATGTAGGTATGATAGAGCCCAGTAGGCTCAGGAATCTGTATACCAGTTGATTGACAGTTGAGAGGCGGGACCAAAGAGCCAGAGCTCAACCCCCGCAAGCACAATTAGGTGAGTACACTACAACTACTTGTAAGGAAATTGGATCTTGTATTCTCTTAATTACTTAATAGCTGATATGCACTACAAATTCTTGATTATAATTAGAAACAAAAGGAACGCAACCAATATTGTACAAGTTTTCAGAAGTAAATTATTCTTAAGAATAAATAAGCAATAGACATTAAGAACATGGTGGCAACAAGAAGCCGGTAACGCACCTAAGAACATGGACGCAACAAGATGCTAGTAACACAATTAAGAACATAGTTGCAACGATAACATGGTAACACTTAAGAACATGTATATGCATTATTAACCTGGTGATATGCCTAAGAACATGTATGGGACATTAGCCTGGTATTACACTAAAGAACAGGAATGCAACAATGAACTGGAAAGTTTCCAGATGCAATAAGTATGGCTCTGAGCTGCAACCACTAAAATGAGGTGATTTGATGAAATAGCTATGCCTAAGATTACCATCAAAGTGCCGTCGGGGTGGTGGTTCATATAGCCTCGGCTATCACCGCCTTTTGTACGGTCACTGATGGTCGAGTGGTTGTGTGTATGCTGGATTGTGTGCTTCGATTACCCAGAAGGCAATTGAGTGGTGTTTGTGAAGCCTCTTTTCTTGCCCAAGGATAGAAGATAGACTAAGAGTGACCCATCGTTCAAAAATAAGCCATATTATCCTGTTGGGTTAAACAGCCTTATCTCTTCAGGTTTATAGGATGCCAATGACCTTTTGTCCTTTTTGCACCAGATAAATAATTTATCACAATTCGAATAGTTGGACATAAGAGTAAGTCTTAAGACCAGGTCTTTTCTTGATTAAGGTGAGTGTGAGTGATTACGGGTGATTGATTGATGAAGATTAAGCCACCCAAAAGGTGGCACGGGCATGAATAGCCCGTAAGTGGTGGCCCTTATGAGCCATTACCAGTATCAAGAGCTTGATACTGGAGATCTGTGGAGGTGCAACTGCATCCTGCGTGACGGGAGATGTCTCCCGTCCCAATGATTACGGGATAGGACTGTGCAGTGTAATAACCCCCGATGACATTAAACAAGGGAACAGCCACAGCCCGGCCGTCAGGGACGGAAGATCCTTCTGGAGATCTTATTAAGTCTTGATTAATAAATGGCAAATGAGTTTGAATATTTTAAATAAAGTAATAAACAACGGAAACGCTAATGAAAAGGCAGGTTATTGGATGAGGGCCAGAGAACTAATGGAAGTAAATTGAAAATACCTGCAAGTGGCTAATAATTTGAAGGAAGTGTTAGTCACAGAGGATTATTAACATATCCCATTCTAGGTTCGCGCTGTCTTCTAGTAGATATAACTGCCTTAAGGGTGGGCTGGAGGGTAGTTAGAAGAGGACAAGATGTTACGCAGACTACCAAGTCAATAGTAAAAAGACTTTTGAGTAAAAACCGGTAAATATATTCAGCCTTGCAAAGCATAAAAATACAAATATTCTTATATTTCAAAGCGCTTGACCAGTCTTTAAATGAATAAATACATAAACTCGGGTCAGTGAAGCAAAATGCTTTTTTTTAATTTATCGAGTGGTAGACTTATGGAATAGTTTACCGTGTGAAGTAATCTAGTGGTAGACCTGGAACAGTATACCGGGGAAAAGTAATGGTGTGGTAGACAGTTTACCACAGGCAGTTCTCCAGCGGTAAACTCCTCTCCTTGCTCTATGCCGCTAAAAAACTTGTCATTAGTTTTTATTTTCAAACTAATGGTTTGAAAAACCATTAGTTTGGTTTACCCTCTATTTGATATCATTTGTATAACCTTTGAACAAGCTCCTTAAAATACCAGACACCGTTCCTATACCGTTATCTTGAGGTTATCTTGAGATGATTTCGGGGCTTAGCGTCCCCGCGGCCCGGTCCTCAACCAGGCCTCCTATCTTTTTTGGTTCACACTCCCCGGAAGCAGCCCGTAGCAGCTGTCTAACTCCCAGGTACCTATTTACTGCTTGGTGAACAGGGGCTGAAAGAAACATTGTGCCCATTTGTCTCCGCCTCCACCGGGGATCGAACCCGGAACCTCGGGACTACGAATCCGAAGCGCTGTCCACCGAGCTGTCAGGCACCGCAACCTACAACTCTTATGAACCTACGACACGCCCCTGCCACGGACCCGTCATCGTGCACCACCATACCCCTACACGACACGACGCACGTGGAAATACTTTTGGGATATAGCCTATGGAAATGGGATTTGACATGGCATCTCAAAATACGTTTTAACGTAGTTTATGATACGTTTTTTTTTGACGTACAGTAATACTTTTCTCCGTCTGAATACCATATGTGATCGTGCTATTATTACCAATTATTTGTGTAAATTATTCGTAACAATTGCATTTGTATATATATATAAACCCCCCAAATAAATATTTTTAACGAACTGGTAAAGAAAAAAACACAGTATGTGCGTTGTTAGTGAGCATTCTTAACACTTTAAATATATTGCCGGCAACACCATCCATCATCTAGTGTGGGCGTGATTATATGAGCGCATTGTCACCCACCACATTCTTCCCTGTGACGGTAACGTTGACGGGGGAGTGTGTTGGCTGACTGGTCCGTCAAGCCCCCCGTCTAGATTCCTCTTGTCAAGTCCATCTCGAGTAGATTAAACTCCTTATGCCGGTAGAGAGTCGGTCAGGTTCGTCCCTGGAGAGGGGTATCGTGAATTCAAGTTCTAGTGTGTTTATTGAGACAAGAAAGAAGGGGATTGAGTAGCTTAGGCTGTTTCTACACCCCTGAGGCGACCCACGTCTTGTATAGGAACTACCTCAGATTAAAACTTGATATCATGTAAGGAAAAGGTGGTTGGAAACTGGTCAGTGATAACCGTTCAGTATTTCTTTTGGGGAATGTCTCTGGTTGTGTGCGTTCAGGCAACAGCCACATGTACACGTTCATTATCTTGCATCCGTGCACACACATTTACATATATATCCAGCATCCGGCGTACATACACACAAACTCACGCACATCAAGAGTATGGCATACACATCTTGTATCTCTACATACATACATCCAGCGTCTCGCGCACACACACACACACACACACACACACACACACACACACACAGCACCCAAGGCACAGGCAGTTTTAGACACACGAGCATGCTGGCCATGATATTGGTCATTGGCAATGTTGAAATAGGATATTCAAAAGGCAGTTGTCATTTAAGGCGATATTACTAGGCGGAGACCACTTAAGAATGATATATAAAGGTCAGTGTTCAAAAGGTGCGGTATGCAAAGGACAAGAGTTTAAGTGTAACAACATTAAATAAGCAGTGTTTCAATGTGAGGCGATTATCAACGGATAATATTAAGTTTTAGAAAGTCATCGAGGCCCCCAACGAACCAATAGCGGAGCCAACAGTTGGCGTAGCCTAACTAGCCTCCTCATATATATATATATGATAGCCTCGTGTTCTTTTTTTGCACCTCTCGTCCTTGTCGCCTCATGAGCGCGCTATATATATATATATATATATATATATATATATATATATATATATATATATATATATATATATATATATATATATATATAAAATATGAAATGCTGGTGATTCCCCCGGAGGCCGACCCCAGTGCCACCCCGGAGGCCGACCCCAGTGCCTCCCCCGGAGGCCGACCCCAGTGCCGCCCCCGGAGGCCGACCCCAGTGCCACCCCCGGAGGCCGACCCCAGTGCCGCCCCCGGAGGCCGACCCCAGTGCCACCCCCGGAGGCCGACCCCAGTGCCACCCCCGGAGGCCGACCCCAGTGCCACCCCCGGAGGCCGACCCCAGTGCCGCCCCCGGAGGCCGACCCCAGTGCCACCCCCGGAGGCCGACCCCAGTGCCGCCCCCGAGGCCGACCCCAGTGCCGCCCCCGGAGGCCGACCCCAGTGCCACCCCCGGAGGCCGACCCCAGTGCCACCCCCGGAGGCCGACCCCAGTGCCGCCCCCGGAGGCCGACCCCAGTGCCGCCCCCGGAGGCCGACCCCAGTGCCGCCCCCGGAGGCCGACCCCAGTGCCACCCCGTGCCCAACAGGTTTGAGAGTATCTACCCAAATATGGCCTATACCGGTGATGAGTTAGTCGGCCGATATTTCCCATACATACTAATCTGTACATTATTTTGCTACGATGGCCTTTAAATTCAGCTGTGAACGGGCCCGCTGGTGTAGTCACAATGGCTTCCCTCGTTTGTGAGGGCTGGGAAGGGGGTTGGAAGAGGTTGTAACGCCCTCAAGACCATTTATGAGAAGCTTCGGATTGTCTGTAGGCTAGTTGTCGGGGTCTTGAGACTAGTTGTGAAGTGTTTCTGGCACTGGTGTGAGGGTGGTGGGCTGTGAGGGACTCGAGGCTATAGTGTGTGTGAGGGTGGTGGGCTGTGAGGGACTCCAGGCTATAGTGTGTGTGAGGGTGGTGGGCTGTGAGGGACTCCAGGCTATAGTGTGTGTGAGGGTGGTGGGCTGTGAGGGACTCCAGGCTACAGAGTGTGTGAGGGTGGTGGGCTGTGAGGGACTCGAGGCTATAGAGTGTGTGAGGATGGTGGGCTGTGAGGGACTCGAGGCTATAGAGTGTGTGAGGGTCGTGGGCTGTGAGGGACTCCGGAGAAAACGATGTAGTCTTATTAAAAGCGATTAAATGTTGCATCCCAGAAAATTGCGTGTTGAAAATTATTATGGTGGACAGATCCAGGTGGATAGACCAGAATTGAGCTGAAAGGATAGACCCAGGTGGGTTGGTGGGTGGGGAAGGCTAGATCCTGGTTAAGTTGGTGGAGAGTCTGAACACTGGCTAGTGGTGGGACGATGATTTTTTTTTATGAACACTCTGAACATCAGAACAAGGCTGTTGTGGGTCTTTATACATCTTTCAGTTCTTCCTGCCTCCTCCTCCCCCTCCTGCCTCCTCCAACTCCTGCCTCCTCCAACTCCTCCTGCCTCCTCCTCCCCCTCCTGCCTCCTCCACCACCACCTCCTGCCTCCTGTCTCCTTCCCCTCCTCGTCCCCCCAGTTGTTCTAATGGCTACCATTGCTACTGGAAGTGGCCAGACGGATAATGAGGAAGGTGGGAGGGGCGCTGGTGAGGCTTCGTTGAATGAGGGAGGGAGGGAGGGAGAGGGTTCTAAGTAGTGATGGAGGGTAATAAAACGCTGAAGGGAGGGAGAGAGAGAGAGAGAGAGGACGAGAAGAGGGAGGGAGGGAAGGTGAGAGGAGGCGGGGAGGGAAGGTGAGAAGAGGGAGGGAGGGAAGGTGAGAAGAGGGAGGGAGGGAAGGTGAGAGGAGGCGGGGGAGGGAAGGTAATGAAGAGATGGGAGGGGACAAAGGGAAGAGCTTCTGGGAAAGGAGTGTAGGCAATGGGTAGTTGTAGGAAGGGAAGGGAGGTGATGGGGAGGAACTGATGAAGGGAAAGGGGAGACCTGGAGGAAGAGAGGAGTGTGTATTAACTGTTAGTAATTAGTTATTAACTTGTAGCCCCTTTAGTTATTAACTTGTAGCCCCTTAGTTATTAACTTGTAGCCCCTTAGGGATTAACTTGTAGCCCCTTTAGTTATTAACTTGTAGCCCCTTAGGGATTAACTTGTAGCCCCTTTAGTTATTAACTTGTAGCCTCTTAGGGATTAACTTGTAGCCCCTTTAGTTATTAACTTGTAGCCCCTTAGGGATTAACTTGTAGCCCCTTTAGTTATTAACTTGTAGACCCTTAGTTATTAACTTGTAGCCCCTTAGGGATTAACTTGTAGCCCCTTTAGTTATTAACTTGTAGCCCCTTAGTTATTAACTTGTAGCCCCCTTTAGTTATTAACTTGTAGCCCCTTAGTTATTAACCTGTAGCCCCTTTAGTTATTAACTTGAGGGAAGATCCTAATGGTGCAAGTATTAACTGTGATACATGTCCCAACCCCAGTCATTAGGCTCCAGAATAACTCTGAACTTTAACCTATTAATGTCCTTAAAAAAAAGGTCCCTCTTAACCCTAACGGTCAGTTTGGGCCCGCTCTCTCTCTCTCTCTCTCTCTCTCTCTCTCTCTCTCTCTCTCTCTCTCTCTCTCTCTCTCTCTCTCTCTCTCTCTCTCTCTCTCTCTCTCTCTCTCTCTCTCTCTCTCTCTCTCTCTCTCTCTCTCTCTCTCTCTCTCTCGCAACTTGATGCTGTAAAGATGTACAAGAATCATTAACATTTAGGTAGAAATATATATATTGCATATTGTCCACTATTCAAGAAAGAATCATGCAAATCAGTATGACTTGTTTTTTGTATTAAAGTCATGAGGGACCCTCGTCATCTCCAGCAGTGTTCAGAGGCGAATTATTTCCTGACTTTAAGAGACGAATTATTTCCTGCCTTTAATTTAATTCCCCGGTGATTCCTGGCCATACACCGACTCACTCCTGGCAGGATATATGGTTTAAAATGTCTCCAGCATCATCAACTTGATCATGCCTTTTAAAGTCAAAATATATCTGGTACTTATATTCCTGACCTGATCAATCAGGCTGTGACTCATACGTCAGGCTGCGAGCAGCCGCGTCTAACAGCCTGGTTGATCAGTCCAGCAACCAGGAGGCCTGGTCGACGACCGGGCCGCGGGGACACAAAGCCACGGAAGCACCTCAAGGTAGCCTCAAGGTAACCTGAGCATGAGGCTCCTGCTGTCCAAGTATGCCACACCTGTCGCCTAGTAGGGTAAACTTATCCTAACCTAACCATCTAAGTGTCATATTCCCATCACCTAGAGGGGTAAAATTGTCTGTTCATCCCTCACATAAATCGGTTTAATTTTGAGGAGCGTATTGTCTTCAAGGAGCCGGTCGGCCGAGCGGACAGCACGCTGGACTTGTGATCCTGTGGTCCTGGGTTCGATCCCAGGCGCCGGCGAGAAACAATGGGCAGAGTTTCTTTCACCCTATGCCCCTGTTACCTAGCAGTAAAATAGGTACCTGGGTGTTAGTCAGCTGTCACGGGCTGCTTCCTGGGGGTGGAGGCCTGGTCGAGGACCGGGCCGCGGGGACACTAAAAAGCCCCGAAATCATCTCAAGATAACCTGAAGATAAGGATGGTTCGATCCAGTCGTCGACAGGGAGTACTGCAGCAGCTCTAGGCGGTACAAGAATAATACTTACAGCAAGAGCTGTCTCTTACAGCTCTTGCTGTAAGAGACAGCAAGAGACAGCAAGAGCTGTCTCTTAAAGCTCTTGCTGTAAGAGACAGCAAGAGACAGCAAGAGACTTATTATATAAATAACATGCTTGCTGCACAGAATAAATGATTCAGAATCTCTTTTTGTATGACGGCCATCTGTGAAGACACAGACACAACAGCTAAGTTGACCAGACCACACACTAGAAGTTGAAGGGACGACGACGTTTCGGTCCGTCCTGGAACATTCTCAAGTCGATTGTGCTAAATTAAATACTAATTGTACTAAAAATACTAAGATTGTACTAAATTAAATTGTGCTGTGCTGCTAAACAGCAGCTAAATTAGCAGTAACAACAAGCAGATAGACCTGATTTCAGTTGTCAAAACTACATAAAAAGTGTTTAAGAAAGTGTTCTAAACTTTCAGGTCCATTTTGGAGAGAAATCTGATCCTCTCAACGACCGGGTCGATCCCAGAAGGCTGCGTCGTTTAAGTCTTAGGATCCCCTCAAAATGCAGATCTGTCGAGGGATTCTGAAACTCTCGGAGCAAACAAAATCAGACTTGATATGGGGTTCGCAGTGGAAGTCAACCCTACCTACGACCTATGTCATTACCCTACCCCCTACCATTCACCCGGCAAAGCTGGCCTCCAACCTTGGACAGACTAACAGAGACAGACATTGCAACACAGTAATTGCCAGGCTCAGGTTGGGCTACCGTTGCCTGTGACAGGTGGTTACAGATGAGGAGGTTCCGAACCCTGAGAACTTGGTGTGTAAATTCTGTGTGAGGAGCAGGAACTGGGTCATGATTTCACACACTACATCATTGTATCTCCAGTCATTAGACCTGGTGGTGTGAGGTACAAGCAGCTTGGCAATTACTGTTCTACTGCTGAAGACATCATATTCCCTATCACACTATGTAACCTTTCATATAGTATAAGGTTGCCAGCTAAATGGCTCTGTATCTTTTAAACATTCGTTCTCTTTATTCAGTAGCAGTAACTCTTGTCATCCTTTCCATTCCTCCCTTTCTACCAGCCTCATGTTCCAGTCCTCTCCTTCCCCCCCCCCCCCAGCCCACGCAATATCCGTACCCTGTATAGGTAGCCAACAGGTGGAATGCACTGAAGGAAATCGTGGAGCTAGACCTCACGACCTCGACCTCACTATAGCACGGGCTATAGTGAGCCCGTAACTTACCTAACTTACCTGGCACAGGAGCGGGGCAAGTAGCACGGGCTATGGTGAGCCCGTAGTGGACCTACCTGGCACAGGAGCGGTCCGCCACCACCTCCTCCCTTGAGTACTCAGTAACCCACTGCTCTGCACGTAGAACAGGGCCCAAAACTCTATCTTTGCATAGAGTATGCACGCTAGTTACCACTGTAAAATCACTTCAATCACCTTGTGCGGTTGAATGCTCACTGCACAATATGTAGTCTTAACAAAGATCTCAACTCTGTACGCGGAGGACAGCAAGAAAATGTATATATGCTGGTTAGCATTTTATAAGTGAATGGCCACGTCTTTGGTAGGGGAAAAAAAAATTCAGAAAAACCTAACCGTGGTGACCCCTAAGCCCTCAGCCCCCACACTCCCCCGCCCCACTCCTGCCTCTTTACGCGAGGAAGAACAACAGCCCCAAGGTCAGTTTTGACACCTAAAATGACTAAGAGAGACGGCGATGTTGACGCGGACGTATAAGAGAGGGCCTTAGTCAACGTCTTGGGTGCTTGTGGCGACGTCGGAGTGTTTAGACGGGCCCAACCCGAGGGGCGGCTACTGCTGCTGTTCCTCGACCCTTCCTCCTCCTCCATCTTCATCTCCTTCTTCATCTCCTCCGTAAAGGGGAGTCATACTAATGTAACGACTCCCTGTGTGGGTCAGTGGGATTCATATTATTTGTATCTGTTATTCAGGGAGTTACAAATATTGTAACTTTTAGTGTGAGATGTTTTACATTATGTTTGGACTCCTTGTAAGTCATACTGGTACCTGGTAGGAGTAGTGATTTAAGACGATGATTTTGACAGTCTGGCAGAGGAGGGGGAATGGGGTCGTATCAACGAGAGAGAGAGACAGAGACAGACAAATAGATAGAGAGAGACAGAGACAGAGACAGAGACAGACAGAGAGAGAGTGTGTGTGTGTGTGTGTGTGTGTGTGTGTGTGTGTGTGTGTGTGTGTGTGTGTGTGTGTGTGTGTGTGTGTGTGTGTGT